CACCACCATCCCCTGGCAGCACGTTCCACATTCCTACCGCTCTCTGTGTAAAAAACTTTCCCCCTCTCACCTTTAATACATGCCCCCTAGTATTGACATTTCAACTCTGGGAAAAAGATTCTGACCGTCGACCCTATCTGTGCATCACGTAACTTTGTAGATTTCTATCAAGTCTCCCCTCAGCCTCCGCCGCTCCAGAGAAAACAACCCGAGTTTTTCCAGCCTCTCCTTATAGCCCATACCCTCTAACGCAGGCTGGTAAACCTCTTCTGCACCCTCTCCAAAGCCTCCACATCCGTCTCATCACGTGGCGACCAGAAATGAACATGATACTCTTAAGCATGGCCTGATCAAAGTCTTATACAGCTGCAACATGAACATCCCGATTCTTGTACTCATTTCCCCGACCATTAAAGGTAAGTATACCATACGCTTTCTTTACCACCCTATCAGGAAGCCACTTTCAGGGAGCTATGGACATGAACCCCAAGATCCCTCTGTACATCAGTTGATCGACTTATTTTTGTTGCCACAGATTTCTTTGCACACAATTTGTCCTGCAACTACCACTAGTTACACATTCATGCACTATACTCCTCATTTATCCTTAAAGCAGGTTTCAATTGTAATGATGTTCTTTCATTTCCCTATTTTATTGGAGTGTGGACTTTTTAACAAGGAAGATTCTTACGGCAAATAGTTTGCATGGGTGGCACTACAATACAAATACAAGCTCTCATTTGCAAATGTATTGCTATTTCATGACATCACCTGTCTGATCGATGGTCATTGTAACTACAAGAATCAAGCCACCATCAGTGCAACACCAGGTTTGAACCATCTCTGAGGGAATGCTCCCTTTACCCCAACACCCAGTGTAGCGTAACATTATTGCTCAACCCGGGAGTATTAAAGCTGGAAATGGTTGACAACGTCCACTTGCAATGAACAGCAGAAAGAGAGGAAAAACGCACACAGAAAAATAAGCTGCATTTATTTCCGGGAACGAACAGGATTTGCTTTTGGGTAACAGCAAATCCAATTTTTATTGATGCACCATAGAAAGCATTCTGTTCGAGTGCATCACGGCCTGGTACAGCAATTACTCTGCCCACGGCTGTAAGAAACTACAGAGAGATGTGAACACAGCCCACTCCATCTCGCAAACCAGCCTTCCATCCATTGACTCCATCTACGCTTCCCCCTGCCTCGGGAAGGCATCCATCAAAGGCCCCTCCCACCCCGGTTATAATCTCTTCCACCCTCTTCTGTCAGGCAGGATATACAAAAGCTTAAACACATGGACCAGCAGCTTCAAGAACAGCTTCTTCCCTGCTGTGACTAGACATCTAAATGGACCTGTCAAATTTTAAATTTAATGTTGATCTCGTTCTTTGTGCACCTTCTCTGCAGCTGTAACATTGTATTCCTCTCTCTGTTCTATTACCCTAATGCACTTTGTATGGTATGATCTGCTTGTACTGCATGCAAAACAAAACTTTTTCTCTCTACCTTGGTAAGTGACAATAATAAATCAAATCTTCAAATTTAGAGTGAATGAATGCTCTCTGCACCCAGTTCATACCTCTACTGGAACCTGGTGTCAATTAAGGACAAGTGATGACTCCAAGGCGTTTAATTACATTTAAAAAATTGCAAATAGCAATGGTGCATAATAAAGATCAGTCTTTTTCTGTAAAGTCCTTTCTAACCTATGCCCCTTTAGCTTTGGACTCCCCTACCCTGGGAAAAAGACCTTGGCTATTCACTCTATCCATGCCCCACATGATTTTTATGAACTTCTATAAAGGTCAACCCTCAGGCTCTGACGCTCCAAGGAAAATAGCCCCAGACTATTCAGCCTCTCCCTTATATCTCAAACCCTCTAATCCTGGTGTAAAGCCTTCTCTTCCTTGTTGGAGATTCACTAAAGAACTTTCCAAGTCAATATTACTACATATATTCATGAAAATAAAACAAACTGGCCCCCAACTTTTGGCAAAGAAATCATTCATTTTTATATACCTCACGTACTTATCCCTTTGTACTTAATACCACTCTGTACAGACCAGCCCTCTGGTCCTCTGAATACAATGACTTAAGAATTAGGAGCAGGAGTAGACCATTCAGCCCCTCGAACCTGCTCCTTCGTTCAATACAATCGTGGCTAATCTCGGCCTCAGCTCCACTTTCCTGTCCACTCTCCACGACACTTCAACCCTTAAAAAACCCTTTGATCCCTTTAGCCCCAAGAGCTATATCTAAAGTCCTTGTAACCTTCTGATGTTTTGGCCTCTGTCTTCTGGAGTACTGTTCCCAGTTCTGGTCGCTCTGCTAAAGGAAGGATATTATTAAACTGGAGAGGGTTCATAAGAGTTACCAGGATGTTGCCAGGAATAGAGGGTTTGAGATATAAAAATAGACTGGATAGACGGGGACTTTTTCCACTGGAGTGTAGGAGGTTGAGGGGGTGACCTTATTTAGGTTTATAAAATTAGGAGGGGCATTGATAAGGTGAATGGCTGGGGTCTCCCCTCCCACCTGAGTGGGGGAGTTCAAATCTAGGGGGCATATTTTTAAGATGAAAGGAGAAAGACTTGAAAAAGACATGAGGGGCAATTTTTTTTTAAAAACACGGAGTGGATCATGTGTGGAATGAACTGCCAGAGGAAGTGGTGGATGTGGATACAGTTACAACGCTTAAAAGACATTTGGATAAGAACATGAATAGGGAAAGGTTTAGAGGGATATGGGCCAGGAGCAGGCAGGTGGGACTAGTTCAGATTGGGATTATGTTCGGCATGGACTGGTTGGACCGAAGGATATGTTCGTATGACTCTATGACGAATGTGGGATTTCTATCATATTAGCTTCTCTTACTCTATCGAATGTAGATTGTAAAAGCTAGACGCTCGTTCTTGAGCTTCTGGATCTCCTGGTTTAGTTGGTTTTTCTCTTGTTTGCACTGATGTTCGAGGTTACAGTACGCATGTTGCATGCTTTTGTTTTAGTTTGAGAAAATGGTTGGCATGGACCGGTTGGACTGAAGGGTCTGTTTCCGTGCCTTATGACTATGACTCTCCCTCTCCACAGGGAGAATTCGACAGAGTATATTAAAAGACTGTGCCACATTTGGCCAGGTTTTTGAAAACAAGGCCTCACTTCTTTTCTCCGTTCGGATATTAGTGACCTTTTCTGTTAACAAACCACACTGACCTTTCAGGGGCAATCCTTACATCAAGGAGCAGTGTCTAGAACGGGAAGAAAAATCTTTGCCACACTTGATACAAAGTCAGTGGGCTGGACTTGAGCAACTTTGTCCATGGACTGAGGGTTGGTTCTCTTTCAGATAATTCCTCATTCCCCAGTCACCCGCTTTAAAACAAAAATTACTATTTACAATCTAAATGTCACAGGAGGTACCAATGCCACAAGAGGTTGTGAATCAGTTCAGGATGAAGATTCTAGATGGCTTTATATAGAATGCAAGCTAAAATTATCCTCATAAAAGATCCATTTAACTAATTAACATTCTTCTGTCTATCGCATCATGCCCTTTAAAGATATTAATTTTCAGGCATTTTGTCCAAATTCGTAGTTGAATTAAGACTCACCTATCAATTAACTGATCATATGCCTGACTGATTAAACACAATGAGTCACTGCCAGTGAGTACCAATGAACTCTTGTGTCAGTGAACACTAGAGAAAATTGGATGAAGCAGAGAAATTTATTCTAATTCCAAACTGGCATGGAACAGGAAGCAAATGAGTCAACTAATCCTGTGAGTCTAGAAGACTGAGAGGTGTTCTTAACGAAACGTATAAGACCACAAGGGGACTTTACAGGATGAATGCGAAGGTGGTGTTTGCCCTTATGACAGAGTCTCGAGCAAGGGATCAGAGTTTGAAAACTACAGGCCTCCCATGTAAGACAGAGATGAGGAGCAATTTTTCCACCCAAAGGTTTGCTAACCCGTGGAATTCCCAGACAGGAATGGAGAAATGGTCATTGATTATCTTTGAGTTTGAGTTATATAGATGTTCCATAGCTGAGGGTCACGGTGGGCAGTCAAGAAGGTGGATCTGAAGCCACAATCAGATCGACCATGATCTTATCTAACAATACAAGGGTGAAGTGGCGTACTCCTGCTCTTACAGAGTCATAGTCACACAGTCATACAGCATGGAAACAGACCCTTTGGTCCAACCAATCCACGCCAAACATAATCTCAACTAAACTAGTCCCCTATCTGCCATCTCCTGGCCCATATCCCTCCAAAGATTTCTTATTCATGTACTTATCCAAGTATCTTTTAAATGGAGAAACTGTACGCGCATCCACCACTTCCTCTGGAAGTTCATTCCACACACTAATCATCCTCTGTGTAAAAAAAAAAAAGCCCCTCATGTCTTTAGAAATCTTTCTCCTCTCACCTTAAAAATATACCCCCTAGTCTTGAAAGCCCCTATCCTAGGGATAAGACACCAACCATTAACTCTGTCTATACCCCTCATGATTTTATAGACCTCTATAAGGTCATCCCTCAGCCTCCTACGCTCTAGTGAAAAAAGTCCCAGCCTCTCCAGCCTTTCTTTATTCTCATCTGGTTCACTAACGTACTTTAGGGAAGGAAACTGCCATCCTTACCTGGTCTGGGCCTACATGTGGCTCCTGACCCACAGCAATGTGGGTGACTCATAACTACCCCCTCGGCAATTAGGGATGGACAACAAATGCTGGCCTCACCAATATGAATGAATAAAAAGAATTCTAACTAATTAGGTTTCAACAACCATCGGTTTCTGACAATGCAACACTTGAGAGGAGAACATTGACTACTTACCAGTAATGTGCAACAGAAAGGGGCAGAAGGAAGAAAAGTGCCAGAACATATAAATCAGTGGACATTGTGCATTGTAACCAAAGAACTAAAAGGCAAGCTGGGTTAATCTAAAATGGTACATTTGGTGTTTTGTAATGAGTCTCCTCACTGGCCATTGATAGGAAGTAATCTTTATTAAAACACCTCCGGGAGTTAGGGTACAGTAACCAGTACAAATTAAAAAATAAACTGTGCTTGGGTAGGTCACTAAGGCAATTATCAAGAAAAGTTGCATTACTTGTAGTCAGATATAAAATATCGGAACACAGTAATCAGTGCTTCACTCCCAACTCACTGGGCTATAGGGGAGTAGTCGCAAGTGCCAGCCCATGTCTCCCATGGTTTCCAGCAAGATAAAATTCCACATTTCAGCTGTGCCAATATAGGACTACAGATATAAAAACCTTGGCGCCACTGCAAATGAGATTAACACCCATATATAAAAATTCGTCAATTAATCTCCATCAATTCCTCTTGCGTTAGAGATAGCAGGAACTGCAGATGCTGGAGAATCTGAGATAACAAGGTGTAGAGCTGGATGAACACAGCAGGCCAAGCAGCATCAGAGGAGCAGGAAGGCTGACATTTCCGGCCTCTGCACCTTGCTATCTCAATTCCTCTTGCGTGTCTGGTTGCAGTCTCCACATGTTTTCTGGGACCTGAACAGTTGAAGGCACAGATTACATACAGAACGGAAATGCTCCGGGGGCACTTCTCCATCTGTACGGAGTTATCGGACTTCAGTCTGGGCAGTAGCTAGGCTGGGGGACACAAAGTAGCCGGCGTCCAATTTCTAATGGCTGTCCAGCCAATCCCATCTTCGGTTCACACGTGGAGCATGAGGAACTTGAGCGAGATAGCCGAAGGGGTCCCGGTTCCCAAGGGACGATAACCCCAGGAGTGTCAGCTACCACAGCCGGGGAGACACAAAGACGACAAGTGGATTAGTGTGGAGTGGCCTTGAAGTTAAAATTGTCACCAATTTTTGGGGGGGGGGGGGGGGGGGGGGGGGGGAAACGACTCTGGCCCCCAAAAGTGAGGCAACCAGACAGACAGGATAAAAAGCTTCACATAAAAAAAGATTTAAAAATAAATTAGGATGTATCATCTCACTTTCCAATAAGGTTAGAGCCTTGAAGGGTGCAAATGCTATCGTATGGAGGAAAAAAAACAGTGCAAACTTCGAGATAGTAAGAGCTGCAGATGATGGAGTCAGAGACAACACAGTGTGGAGCTGGAGGAACACCGCAGGTCGGGCAGGATCAGAGGAGCAGGGAAGTTGACGTTTCAGTTTGGGACCCTTCTTCGGAAAAAGGTCCCAACCTGAAACGTCAACTTTCCTGTTCCTCTGATGCTGCCCAGCCTGCTGTGTTCCTCCAGCTCCACGCATCTCTAACAGTGCAAACTTCATACAGATTTGTTTACAGACGTTAACATAAGTCACCAGTCTGGTTCCATAGCGTACAAGAAAACGTAGATAACATATGTTGTATCGAGGGGATTCATCAACAGTGATACTTTGTCAGGATACCTTCCACTGTGTGTTAAACCTGTACTAGTTTGTTATATTCTACGCATAAGTAAACGTGCGTTTGTCAAATATGCGATTGGATTTGAGGAGGGTCAAAGAGCTTCAAAAAGACTCACGTGGCCGGCATATCAAAGCTCCTCTTCGCCTGCCTTTATATCAGAGTCCACTGCGAGCCTTGATGGTTTATTATAGTAGCAAGTGTGGGTAGCAAGCCACCCAGCGCACTGAGGCCCTGGGCCAGTCCTTGGTCTTACAGGGTTCAGCAGAGGTGGACGACACTGCAATTACTCCCAACATCTAGAAGCCAGGGAAGATACAAGACCCTCCGCAGTCTTGGTGCCACTTTCTAATCCAGTTATTCCAGCTACAAAAAAGACCCAGGTACAGAGGAGCAGGCGAGGACAGTATCAGATCTAGCTGCATTATATGTACCTTAAAATTGTCAAATCTTGCAAGAAGGTGAGGCACAAATCTTAACCATTACAGGCCAGAACCTCATTTACTTGATTCACCTAACTTGCCCCAGCCTAAACTCTCATCTCCCTAGAAGCCCAATCATGTGGTCCTGTGAGCTGACTATATTTTGGTCCTGAGTATTTGTAACTCCTTTAAGTGAAAAAGTTCACACAAGCTTGCGGGCAAGTAGGGCAACAGATGTAAAGTTAGCCATTAGCCTAACGTGGAACCAAGACCTGGTAAGGCCTCAGCTGGAATCTCGCATCCAGTTCTGGGTACCACTGTATAGGAAGGATGTGAAGGCACTGGAGAATGTGAAGGAAAGATTTACAAGAATGTTTCCAGGGATGAGGAACTTCAGTGTTGAAGACAGATTGGAGAACGTAGAACAGTACAGCACAGGAAGCTGGGACTTTTCTCATTGAAGAGGAAGGGTGAGGGGAGATCCGATTGAAGTATTCAAGCTTGACAGGTTTGGAATAATTAGTAAAGGAAGCAAAAAAGAAAAGTGATCAGGAAGAAAATGTTCCACATTATGAGGGGTTAGGCTCTGGAATGCACTTTTTCAGAGTGTGGTGGAAGCAGGTTCAATCAAGATATTCAAAAGAGAACTAATTAGTTATTTGGAAAAGGACTTTTGCGGGGTTAGGGGATGACGACAGGAGAGCGGCACCGATGCTCAAAGGAGAGCCGCCATAGACACGACTGGCCGAGTGGCCTCTTTCCACAATCAATCTACAGTGACACCACAGGGCGGGAGGAAATGTCAATTCTGCTTGCGCCCACTGTCACCCTCGATAGTTAAACTCTCGCATTCAAAACGACCAGGGAACCGAAGCGGGCCACTGGTTTGGAGAACGAGGCAACAGCAGGGGAGAAGTAGCTAACCTGAGCAATCCTGTCAGATAGAAAACAGCCTCTGCTTTCGGCCCAGGGCTGGCTGCACGGTTCTTACTTCAGCAACTGGCGGCTGCTGTTCAGCAGGAAGGTAAAAGGGTAGCTTCCGAAAAGGAAAATTCATAACTTATCGGACCGGTTTGGTACAGTGCCAGTATCGGTTTAAAAACGCACATTTGGTTAACTAGCTTAAATTCCGTCAGCAGTCCCTTTCGCCTGCTTCCTCCAAGAGACGGTTAGTTTTACAACGCTGATACACAAAAATACAAGCTGCTCGCCGAATCGGAGTGTCCCACTGAAATACATGGAGCGCCTACGTCTGTGGAGTGGAGTAGAATGTGTGGTAGAAGCTGCTGCCTTGCATGTGGTCTCTGGCAAAGAGTAAAGGTGCGGTGGTATGCTGGGACACTCCCTCGTACCAGGCTGGTTCCACGTTACTGCTATCGGTGCCATACCAGCCATTGCGCTGGAGACTGTTCGATAGACTATGTGAGAGAGAGAGAGAGAGAAAAGGGTGATATCAATGGGATGTTAATCGTATCACTAAAGTTAAGATCACACAGCGTAAATATAAGGGTAGACTTATGCCTCTTTAAGGGGGCTATTACCCCTTAATCTGGTTAATTTAGATCGATTGTTTTGGAAAATGCACTGTATGAAAGAAGGCGTGCGCTCAGCACACAGTTATTGCCCGTACAGGCTGCTGCACGCCCTCCCTTTCCTCATCCACCACCGAGACACACTGGGGCTGCCTTCTACAGGTGCCTCTCTGTAAGGGAGTTCTGCCCTTTAACATCAGCAGTTTGGGCTGGAAGATATTGCACAGGGCTGCTGTGTGCAACGAGAGATTAAACTGGCACTCCCAGGCCGGGCTGTATCTTTTGCAGCCTTGAGCAATCAGCGTCCAATGTACACACGGGGTATCACAAAAACAAAGTTGCTGGAAAAGCTCAGCAGGTCTGGCAGCATCTGTGAAGGAGAAAACAGAGTTGACGTTTCGGGTGCGGTGACCCTTCCTCAGAACAGGTTGCGTTAGGTTACAGCTCCCATTTTCTTTTCCTGACAGGGCTGCTCGTCAATGTTTGGCTACACTTCGGCTCCAAGCTCCTGATCTTTGGCTCTCCAGTGCCGAGAGGACCTGTGGATGGGACTGCTGACAGATCTGAGCCCTGTCTTGTGGCTCTGCAACTGGGTCTAGCCAAGACGGCCGTGCCCCGCTCAATCCATGGTGGGAGGGGAGCGTCATCGTACACTCAATTGCTTGCCCCTCTTTTTTTTCTCATATAACATCGTACCTGCACCCAGCTATTCCTGGAGAGGGAGCATGCGGTGGTGAGCAGGAGGCTTTCCCCGACCGAGCAACAAAAGTTTAATGGTACAGCCTCAGGGCCTCAGTGTTCCATGTGTATATGGATTATGTTAGGTTACAGTCCATTCCTCATTATTGTGAAGCGGTTACTACTGAAACTTCCGCCCACGCTCCTGATCTGTGCCCACGCGGTGCAGAGAGTGGGCACACACATATCAAAGGACCTCCTTGGGCCTGATGAAGGCCTCTCTTCCTTGGTTACATCCTTGCCTGTGTTTCCCTGGAAAGGGAACATACAGTGTGCACTGGTATACCAGTAGGCACCACCGAGTGGAAGTGCACTGCCTTCCCCATCAATTCAATTTTAACACACATGCTTACAATTTTACTTCCAGGATGTGAATTTTGTTATGGTGCATCTATAAGGGACGGCCACTTGCTTATTTGTTAAATTTCGTTTAGTTTGGCCTCTACTCCATAGAGTCTAAAGGAAGACTTGCACTCTGGTTCCACACTGCACAGAGAAATTTCCTCCATGTGCTGCTGCTACTGCACACCCTCATTATGGACCAGATCAGGTCCCCTCAAAATATTTTAAGAAGATAGCCTAGACCCCAACTTTTTCTTATTTTAAAGGCAAATGTAACGTGCTGCATTTGATTGGTCAAACTACTCGACATTAAGCAAAACACAACTTATTTAAACACTATAGTTAAAATACAACAACAAAAGGAAGAACTTTGAATAAGTTAACTCTATTGAAAGACTTAACAGAATAATAGATACAGTAACTATTATGAACAAACTGTTCTAATATAGTTATATTCCATGCACATACCCCTTAGCAAATACACAAATTTCAGAAAAATTGATTTGTCTCACAGGTAAGCCAGCTGCAGAGGGAGAAACCCCAGCTTCCAGCAGTAATCAAGTGTGGGAAAAGATAGCTTCTACTTCTTCAAAAACTCCAGCAGCTTCTGCCGAAGCTAAAAATTCAAACAAAAACTAGAAATCCTGGTTGGTGAGAGCTGGCCACACCCTTCCAGGTTGCTTCTATTGTTCTTATGTTTAAAAAAAAATCAAAAAGCCCAAGGCCTCACAAGTTGTTTAATTTACTGGCATGCCAACTAGACAGGTGTTTGCCTTGGTCTTAAAACTTCTCTTGAAAAATAAAAAACGGGATGTGGAGGTGCCGGTGTTGGTGTTGGACTGGGCTGGACAAAGTCAGAAATCACATGACACCAGATTATAGGCTAACAGGTTTATTTGAAATCACAAGCTTTTAAAGCACTGCTCCTTCATCAGGTAAGAGAGAAAAAGGACAAAATAACTTCTTAAAGCCACAGCATCATCGCACTTTCCACTTCCTCATTCAGACATTCAGTGGTGCTCCATCCTGCCATCGGGAAAAGGAGGGGGTTCCCCGTGGAGGACTCTCAGGAGCAGTCTTCCCTTTCTCCAATAGGGATCTGGCATGGATGGTGTGGTGAAGCGGACCATCTAGTATACCAACACCTTATCCATTCACTTAACCCATCCGGAACGCTTTGTGGACTCTATATCTCCACACAACTTGGTCTCTTACCTTTCTTTGTATCATCAGCAAGCACGGCTACAAAGTAGCCTTATACCCTTCATCTAAGTCATTAATACTTATAGTAAATACTCAAGTGTCCAGAACAGATCCCTATGGCACTCCACCAGTTTGCCAACCATTTCTTGTTAGTTAACCAATCCTGTATCAATACAGCCTTTCCCTTCCCAGTGCTGTGAGCAAAAGGGTCACACAACACCAGGTTATAGTCCAACAAGTTTGTTTAAACCACAATCTTTGGGTTGAGCTGGACTGGCACAGAGAGGTTGTTGAAATGTGATGACGGATGTTCAGAGTCTCATCTTGCACAGAAATCTTTTTATGGTGGTGCCTTATCAAGTGTCTTTTCAAAATGCAAATACACCACATCTACCGGCTCCCCTTGGTCCACCTTGCTTGGTACATTCACAAAGAAACTCTGACCAACTACCGAAACACAATTTCTTTTTCACCAACCCAAAAGGAGGAATGAGAAGAAATGGGAATTGTAAGTAAGAAAGATACCTGTCCTGCTCGCTGTGAGATCCTACTGCCCAGGGACAGTCATCACCTTCAAACTGACGAGGGTTGTCAAAGAAATATGAACGGGAAGCAAAGCTCGGGCCATTAACTATCCCAGTCCCAGCCTGCAAGAGAGAGAAGAAAAAAAATCTAATCACACCAAGGCACATGACCATACAGATCAAATCTAATGATTCCACAGTCATTTTAACATCCCATGATCATAGGCAACTCTTTATCTGTTATCACATTTCAGCAATCTTCTGGCACCATTTCAACTCGAAACATATTCATAGAATCCCTACCGTGTGGAAACTGGCCCTTCAGCCCACGCCGATCCTCAGAGCATCCCACCCAGCCCATCCCCCTATAACCCACCTAATCTACACATCCCTGGGCACTATGGGGCAATTTAGCACGGCCAACCCACCCTAACCTGCACATCCCTGGGCACTATGGGACAATTTAGCACGGCCAATCCACCCTAA